TACGTTGTGGTGCACTTGCTACGAGATTTCTTCTGAAAGTCGTTTTTCCTTTCAATATATTTTTTCTCTTATTTTATGCAGCACTCAGCCAATTGTAATGTACTTGGTAAGGTGTTGAATGCATATATATATATATATATATATATATATATATATATATATATATATAATCAGTGGTTGGAGCACGTTGTGGCCCACACCTCTACCGGATGTTTCTTTGCAAGCGATACGTTGACGATACGCTAGTGATCGCCCTCAACCTAAATGCCGCCCAACGTTTTTACGAGGTGATAGGCAATGCACACCCGAACGCTCATTTTGCATTTGAGCTAGAGAACAACGGCTGTCTTCTTTTTTGGATGTACTTTTGACTAGAACTGACGACGGCTCGATACGACGTTCCATATACCGAAAAACCACTTGGACGAGACTTTACGAAAACTTCAGTAGCTTCACAACAGTCCGGTACAAACGTTGTCTCGTCAAAACGCTGTTCCAACGAGCACGTAGAATATGCGGTCCTGAATGAATTGCAGTTCATCACACAGATGCAGATGGGCACCCGATAGCGATTATTAAGTTTCACGGTTGCACGACGAAAGGGAACAAACATGAGTCCCCTACAGTGTCAAAAATACCCGTCTATCTCCAATTGCCATTCAAAGGGGATGATGTGGCAACGCAATTCGAGCGGCGTGCTGCCATAGTAATTCGACATACATTCTGTGCTGCAAAACTGTGCCCAATTTGGACAACCAGCACCTCCGGTTAAGCTTACGCAATCGGTCGCTGCCACAACACGTTGTATTTGGGACTTCGTCGGTCGATGTGAATGCCGTTACATCGGCAGAACATACCGGTGTGTGCGCAAACGGATCGGTGAGCACATCCCGAAATTGTGGAAAAACAATTTCAGGGGTAGGAGCCAAGATTTTAAATTGCCGGCCTCATCGATTGCCAGACATCTACTTAGAAGGGGGCATCAAACTGATCCTAACGTTTGCGGTTAACTAGATTAATGGAAACGCTAAGACACTCAAGCTTATGGAGGCTGACAATTAACCCCAGTCGTACGGACCTATGTGTGCAAAAACAGCTGACTGTCACTCTCAAGCTTCCTTTGGGATAGTGACACTCGTCTCAAACGTTGTGATTCTGTTGTAGTTTACGACCTTATGTTTCTTCCATTGCAATTCCGACACCATTCAAATCATTGATGTCCTCTTTCATGATCGTTAGATGTCCCTCGTTTGCATGTGATCAGAAAGCGCGAAATGGTCTCATCGTGCAAAACCCGTCCTCTCATTGTGTTATTTAGGCTGATACAGGGGACCTAGTGATTCGAATTCTCCTCAGTTTAAAGGTTGAACTCAGAAACGCCTGGCGCTCTTCAGACGTGGAAAAAAGCAACTTAATAACTAGGTTTATCAGCTGGTAAACTACAAAATTTTTTAGTCGCCCCTGGGAACCCGGTTGGCAGTAGTTTAGAAGCACCTAAACAATTACACATAAGGTGACCCTGGTGATAACCATTTATGAGGAACTCAAGAGACAGCTTTCCATAGACTCTAACGGCCTTAGGAGTCACGGTAAAAAGAGTTAATGACTGAAAGAAAGTTTCATGATAACTTCACAAATAAGGAATGCGACAAGCTGGCACGATCAACAATGTCATAGGTGGCTTTCTGGTCAAGGAAAGCCACCGAAATCGATCATCTGTCTCATTTCCAATACTCGACTTAGAATACATATACCGTCGATGTAACAACGACCAGCCTAACTGAATGAATGAATGATTTGGTTCTCACGTGACCAATAAGTTGTGGCAGTATGATACCTCTGAGAAGTTTGGAGGAAACGGAAACAAGGCCAATGAACCAATGATTTCCGCACAGTCCTCTGACCATTTTTGAAGATTTCAAATCTTTATTCATCGTTATCTGCGAAGCATTGCTGGTGTCGAGTGGCACCAGCATGACCGCAGCGATGATGTGGGTAGGCGAGTACTAGGCAGTGATAACCAAGCTACTTGCTTAGAACAGTAGATAGCACTGAATAAGTTACGTTGGTTTGGACACGTACTACATATACCAGTCATCGCTTACCGAGGAAGGTCTTGTTTTGTCTGCCAGATGTAGGGCGGCATAAGACCCGAGATGGGAAAAAGTTAACTCAGCATCAAGAAATGATGTCACTGACGACCAAACTTGGTGCCGTCGGTCCATCTCGCCTTGTGTTTGGCTCGCTATCGACACCAGTGGCGCGCCTGCTGCCGTCTCCTAGTCGGACGGCATGTGTGTAGTGTGTTTGGTGTCGAGTTTATGACGCGTGGCAGTGACAGCCGCAAGGAAGCAGTTTCGCCGATGCCACCTTATCTCTGCACGATAACCAGCTGTTTGTGACGGTATCGTTGATCAAATGTAGTCGCCCTGACGCCAAATGTTTGCTTAGGACACTAAGGTTTTCCAGTAAGTCCCTCTTATTATTCATCGTTGCGTAGATCACCATGTATGGCAGCAGAGCATCAGTTTAAATGGCTGGTTTACTGCTGTTGATGACAAAAATTTCAGCACAGGGGTGGTGAAATTCAGTCCAACCTGCCATGGCGACCAGCCAAAAATATCCCCCAGTTTTCTCCTATGAGTGATGTCCGTATACATGAACCTATCCAAGGCGACCAAATTTTGTCGGTCCCTTGAGTGGTCGCTTTAGACAGGTTTGACTGTATAGTGCTCCAAGTGACGAGTCACAACCACCACGTCGCAGTGTTGTTAGACGGATGTTTGTGGATTTTTATAGAACGCTTGACGGGCGAAAACCCACTTCGTCCTGAAACACTGCCGCCGAACCATTTGCTGGAACTGCGTAAACCCGAGTCACCCAGCGAGCACCATGAGGTTGTTCAGCTAGTAGTAACTTGTATTCCCGTGATTATGCATCTCATGACTGCAATTACCTGACGAGATTTATCGAAAATTTTCGAAATTTGCCTTTCGACGTCTAAATAGATAATTTATCAGTTGAATTGCTTTTCAAGTAGCCCGGTCCATCATCGTTAGCTAATGTCTCACGAGATCCTTTCTTGGACCTTTGTGTCGAATAAGTCTGAACAAGACTTGCGTATTCCCAATTGCATGGGTATTCCTCATCTGACAGGCTTCCGCGAACACCAATGCTGTAAGACACATTAAGGGCGTTGAAGACACCTTGAAATAGATGCCCTGACAAGACCAGCTTCCTTGCCTTACTTAAGCTAATCGAAACCCCAGATATCTGTCACTATTCAGACACTTGGAGTCGAGAGGTCGAGTGACTTCGGTGTTTCACATTGAAGTCGATTGTAGTCCGCGTTGAGACCGCGTACTTCGTCCGTCAGTGTCAACTGATGCTGGAATTCGGAGCATTACTTTTGCATCGCCCATTGCAGTTGGTTGATCAACAAGCACGCTTTAAGAGGCTGAAAAGACGGCCCGCTCTACAGAATCATAATTGAGACAATCACTCCAGATCTAACGTCAACTCTGCATTGCGGTTTGATGTCCGCTAGGTAACTTGATGCAAATTTTGGCGTTGAAAAGTTGTGCCACCATTGCAATACAGCTGAAGAAAACGGTGACCATTGCTAGCGCGACATGGCCACACTCCGAAGCGGTCTTTAAGGTGATATTCAGATAGACGACTGGCTGGGGCACTCGTGTTGTTTACGACATCAATACTTTGGGTCATATGAATTAGGGGAGAAAGGTGCCAATAAAATTCATCTTTGACGGCCTCCGGATTGCAAGGCGGTGGGCCGAACTGACATGAGATCACCTTATCTACAGCTGCCGCTAATTAGCTGAGATGGAATTTCGAAGCCGAAGGACACAAACGGCTGTCTGAAGTGCAGCTTCCGCACGTCTGTCAATAGCGACTCTAACAGCGTAAATGCCGACAGTCGTTAACTCATATCAGAGATGCGAATGTATAAGCCTAGTCATTGGAGCTCTAGTCTGTTATATACAGATGCACTGATGTCACGTGCGCTTGTTTGTGACATTCAATATCAACTCAGAGGGAGTGTAAAGCCACTGTTCAGTTAATTTGCAAAATGCGTGGATACTGAAAGACGGTACTTTACGTTTGAAAGGGAACTCGAGATTTTCGATAGCGCGACTGATGCAGTCAGTAAGTGCTTCTTGCTGACAGACACGCAAGAAATAAAGAAGGCAACCAGGAGAAAATGTCACTCTCGTCCTATGAGCACACATTATTCCGGCCGCCCTTTCCGAGTTTTGTTCGGGATGACTTGATTTAGTCTTTGATTCAACAGTTTGACCACAATGCAGCAGGTCCGGCCCTGTAGTCCGGACTGCGCTCATACGAATTAGATGGCTATCATACGGCTCCGCCGAATCCTACTGACAAATCAGAACCGACATGTGCAATACTCCATGTGTTTCAGGCGTATAGGGAAAACACAAGAACATGATGATAAGGCTGGAAGCATGAATTGCGTGACCAGAATGGGTGTGTAACAAGTGTTAGCACTTTACACCTGATAGGAATGCAGTAGAGGCAGAAGTTTGGGGAAATATCCAGGAAAGCAATTGATGACGCTAACACCGAATAAGATCACGTACACCAGATAAACTCGTCCGATAGCTATCACGAGTCGTTTTTTCGAGGTCGATAACACGAGCGATTGGATACATTCACAAAGCCCTCTTGTATTCGCGTCCCCTCATTTTAAACTAAGTCATTAGAGCGGATAATTTGAGTGTCTGCGCGTTGCTGTTGAACTGCATTTATCATTATCATTACTGTTTTTTGGCGACGTGAGCCGAGGGGTTGCCGGATGATCCGCCACACCTCGATGCACAGATCATAGGTGCCCGATTGAAACGAGTTCCCAAGGCACAGATCCACATTCTTAGCTGATTGGATAATATGACTATGCAGATAAACGTATTCATGTGTGTAGAGCCGTTCTCGGTATAGTGAGTTCTAGAGCCGGGTTAGTGAAAAATGAGAGACATGAATATACCCGCTGTTATTTAACCAATATATCTTTCAAAACACCAATATATAAACGTTGCTCGGCGTGTGCAGGTTCATTACTATCCGTCGTCTTTTCTTGCTGCGAGTCGAGCCAAGTAACAAAATTGTCAATCAGGGATGTAGCCGAAGCCAGTGGCTGTGTGATCCGGGTTACCACTCCAGGTATGTTCTCTATGTCTATTGAGGTTTCTACTGATGGCGCATTGTGAAACAGCATAATGAGACTGGCCAGTAGATGCTCCTGCACATCGGGGATGCGCATAGTGATTTCGATGAGTCTGGACACGAGGTGCTTCCTTTTGGCCTCATCTGTATAAAGAGGAAAAACGCACCGAAATTTAACCACACCGTGGCCAATAGTTTTTAACGAATTCACTATTACTATCATGATGGTGAGTAGTAACACGACTACGCACCGTACCAACGTTTTGAAACAGGTGTGTGTGTGTGTGACGTGGATGTATCGGAACAGATTAGGAACACTTGCAATTGAAGCGAACACTATCCAAATTTGCACCGACAGGTACTAAAGTGCCTAACTATTTTAATCAATCTCCCGAAACGAGTTAAGATGTACATAGAAAATACTAGGGAGCTAGTAGATACGTATCTATGCTGCTGCATAGAAATTATAAAAAAAAATAAATGTTTTCTTCGCGACAATGTGAGACGCCTGTAAAGGCATGATCACGGTGATACAAACACTAAGGATTGGTAAATAGCGGTACAAGTTTATCAGTAGCGCATATGGAGCCATGTGGTAAGTGCATATAAAGATATGTAGGTAAGATATGTGCTTGAATTTGTAAATGTGACGCCGTATTTGTGATTGATTTCGGTCAGACTGTCAGCATGAGGGGGGGATGAAATGAAGTTTTCGTATTGGATGACTGATGTCCGTGGATTGGGTAATATCATCCAGATAGGCAGTAACTCTAATTAGTTGCGAGTCACATTCGCCACGCCGCAGTGTTGTTAAACATACACGAGTGGCTTTTTATAGTGAGGACACGTACCACGCGGAAATCCACCATGTCCTGGAACGAACTCCCGGAATAACGTCATATGCTGCCGAACATTTTCAACATATTTCATTTGTGTACCTTTCTATTCAAGTGCGATGTGTTCTCGAAATCTATAGTCTACAAATTAAGTGTCTAGGAATTTTCTGTATCCCGACATGTTTCTTGTAAGCACTTCAAATCCGGTACTACGAGCTGGTACCGGCGCTTGCGAGCTCTGATTGGTGGGCGCGCGTGCAGATACAGAAGATGTGAGATGCAACAGTTATGATATAGAAGCAAATGTTAGTAGCTCAGGTTGTTCAGTTGGTGGTCTGAGTGTTCACTGAACTCGGCAGTTTGGCTGCAAACGTTTCGTCACCACCCGAAGTGACATCGTCAGTGCGTGTTTATATAGAAGAGCGGCGCGGTACAAAGCGTCAGTGAGTGTGACCAGGTGGTCTGCAAACAAGGCGATGGTTGATTTGGATTATGAACAAAATGGGACTCGTAAGAGTAAGATTCGAATCCGGCGGGTGCCCGCTGCTGACGAGTACTAATATGAGGAAATGGCCGTCTAGCGCTATCGTGGATTTGTGACAGCTGCGCAACTGAGTCTAGTTGCGATGAATCTTCTCAAGAAAGGACTTGGCAGTGTGTACAGGGGGATACTAGTCTATTATATGGTCATTCACTTGTATCTTCCATTCCCGATCAATCAAGAAGTCACTGGTGCAGTAAGTCACCAACGCTGCACATACTTAGCTAGAGCAGGAAGACCTCATGGTTTACTTTATAGAACTCTCTAGTGAAATCGATGCAAACACTCGACTGACTTCCTCCGGTTCAGCGCTTACAATCATTCATAATGCGTCACCAGCAGGCTGGTGACCTTTCATGAAACCGTGCTGTGCCGGCGTCACGAGATCCTCCGACTCTAGCGGATCATTCGCCACGACCTTCTCCAGTCCCTGAAATGCAGGTAAGGCAAATTGACCGGTAATTGTCCATCTTGCTAGGGTCATGGCCCTCTGGAACCGACTTCACTACTAAGCATTTCCAGTCGATCGGACAGGTCAGTCATGGAAGACGAGATAATGGCCGATATGGACGTGAGAATAAGCGAATGGAGCTCGTCAAGGCAGGAACGCTTCGTGCCATCAGGACTGGCAAACAGAATGCGTTTATCTTCCACACCGCAATCCATGCTGCCGAGTACGGCAGGAGATGCATTCGTCGAATTCGGTGCCGACGCACGGCCATTTGGAAATACGGAATTGTCCTTCAGGGCCCTCTAACAATGCTATGTCACATACAAGCATCAAGATGCCACTTCACGTAAGTAAAGGCACTCTTGATTTCACGCTGTTACAAAAATTCAACTATCTCTCGCACACTTTGTACTCGTCGGCAGAACCAGACTGGAAATTTTTTTCCATATTATGCATAAGGCTAGCTGATTATACTCCTTGTTAAAGCAATGCAGTTTCACAGATCCAGCTTTCCGATTTTTGAGTGGTGCGAATCGAGCTTCAACGGATGGATCCTGAGGAAGCGAACCGTAACCAAGACTCTCGGTGCGGCTAAGATAATCGGAGTCATTTATCAAGTAGCTGTAGGTTGGCTCCAGTGGACGCGAGTATGGAAGCGGTAGCTCTAGGTTGGCTGTCAGCATCAAGTGTTCATTAGCTGCAAGTAGCTTCAGGACCTAAACATCAAACCCACCCTGTCCACCGCTAGCCGACACCAGGTCTAGGCACAACGTAGTCGAAAGTGGTGTAATGCGCGTTAATTGACAGTCGTGTTTTACTGTCCAAGTCTCAAGCATCATCTCCGCGAACACTGCTTCCACTTCACAATACCATGGGAGAAGCTGAATCTCGGGTCCGAGTATTTAAGTTAAGATTAGCTATGAGCCTTAGTCGTCCAGACTAAGGTGATTTCAGACATGTAACAACTAGTCCAAAAAGCGACCTCGCAAGCAAGGATAAGCTACATCCACGAACAATCTACGGAGTCTCATGTGAAGAGAGCGGCACAAATGCTCGCACAGGCCATCTTCGCTTCGGTAGGTGCTTATCAGTCCCTTCCTCAAATGGGGTTGTTTGGTTATCTGTTGCACTGGCAGCACGATTAGACACTGAGCTATATTTCAACCTGGAGCACCAAATTACAGGCTTGCAAAGGAGCTATGGAGACGAGTAAAAGAGCTAATTGCGGGATCGGAACACTCGATCAACTCGGCAGGGCAGTTCCTTGAGAAATTTAAAACCACAACCATTGAACGGGACGAAATAATGGTCACTTTTGATGTTACCGCCTTGTTCACCTTAATCGACATCAGCTTGGCGAAATAAACAATGACGCGTCTACTAGAGGAGCACACGTCGTCTGATACAAGCAGTAAACTCGACGCCAAACAGATGATGGAGTTATTCGAATTCTGTCTAACAACACATTTCACTTTCAATGGCCAAATTTACAAACAGATAAGAGGCACACCAATGGGATCGCCGATCTCTGGTTTGGTAGCCGAGGCAGTGATGCAGGCGCTGGAACAAATAGCACTTCAGACCGCGAGACCAAAACTTGGGGTACGATACGTAGACGACACCTTTGTCATCCTCAAGCGTTCCAAATTAGAGGAAACCCACGAACCAATCAGCAGTGTGTTCGATGACATCCCATTCACCAGGGAGGAGGAGAACAACGAGCAGTTACCATACTTAGACGTTCTAATACGCCGGACTAGTGCTACACAATAGGAAACAACAGTCTACCGAAAATCTACGCATACGGACCAGATCCTCAACTACGGTAGTAATCATCCGGCAGCCCACAAAAGCAGCTGCGTACGAACCCTTTTCAAACGAGCACAAACCCATTGTAGCACATCGCCGCTGAGACTGGTAGAAGAAGCCCAACTCTTCAATCTGCTCAAGCGGAACTCGTACCCAAAAGGCTTTATTCTACGCTGCCTCGCACCACAAAAGACTGCTCAATACACCTCAACAACTGAAAAGTGAGCAACTCTGCCCTATATCAATGGCAACGAGGCTTTTATTGTCTTTTGGAGTCAAAGTTGCACACCAGCCAACGGAAACAATTCACAGCAAACTCTTCAAAGTGAAAGATAAACTTAGCAAAGAGGAAGAAGCTGGTGTGATTTATAAGATATTTCGACCAGGTCTAAACCAGTATTAGCACATCCGGTTACCGGTGTTTCATCCATTTTCCTTATAGCGCTATAAGCAAACCGCAGCTGAAATGAGAGGCTTATGAACGCAGCTGAAAGTTCAGTGAGATGACAAGACCACCAGTCAGACAGTCTTAGCGTAGCAGTCCATGGTCCAGATTAGTAATTAGGATCTCATGAAGTTGTACCGTCAGTGGATGATCGGTTCCAATAAGCCCCGAGAATGTGACAGCTCGTTGAGTTAACAAACGCCGGACAGTATACGGCCAACTGAATTTGGCCCACGATGACAAACGAAACAAAAAACCAATTGTAAATCGCATAGTTGGAGGTGATCGGATGCGACCGAAGCTCAGCACCTGTCCTATCATTAAGGGAACTACACGACAATACTCGCGGGGGCCAACGATTTTGATTTCAATCTATGCAATAAATCTAAAGCCACACAATGCACTAAGCAGTAATCTGTAAGTCGCAATGGAGCCATAGATATCGCTACCAAGTGGTCAGCTGGCTCCCAATGCACAATGGACAACAGACCTAGCAATGAATAAAAGCATTAGAGGTGGGGCAGTACCGCACAGCATGCGGCAGACTTCAAAATTGTGCAGATCGAAATTACGGCATTCAAGTCGAGTCAAGAATGCGCTTTTATGCATCCGTAAAGGGTGAATATTCGGCCTTGACACACATGCTATTTGACATCACAAAAATCAACTCAAAAACGACAGAACAACAGCAAAAGAAATAGCTCAATGGAAACATAACCTCACTGGCAGAATTTACTGGCTAGTTCTTGAATAATAGCGTTTTGGTCAAATAGAAATCTGGCTACATAGGGAATGACCGACGAACCATAAGCTTTCGTGCTGGAATATAGAGCTTTGTGTTGTTTCATCTGGTCGACGAGGTAGATATGCAATTGGAAAGTGCAGCGTGAAGAGGTTGGCTAATGTCAGTGAATGTTTTTGAAGCAAGTTTAATGCATGAGTTAACGTGCGTAGATACAATTGTTCTACCAAGGTTACCTTTGGAATAATCGACCTGCTTTATGGCGTTGCTTGATAAAGAACGGGGTGCCAAAGAAATATGCCGCCATCTTACGAGCACTT